TGTCCCATATACAAATAATAATACTTCATTATCACTTAGTTTCATATCTTTAACATCGAAACTATTATCGAATAAAAAATGTGCTTCAAAATTCGAAGATTTAATATCCCATTTAGTAATATTTCCTATGTTTTTATCATAAATAAACAGTTTTCCATTAGATAAGAACATTTTTTGGTTGTTTTCATCATATGATTCTATTTTTATTGTTGATTTATGAATAAATTTATTATTTTCTTGATTGAATATATATATTCTATATGTTGGCTTTTCACTAATCATAATAAATTCACCTCCATCCAAAAAAGCTAGGAATTTAACTGCAATTTCAGAATACGGCATTTCAAAATATGGAATATTTAAAAAATGAAGCTTTTGGTCTACAAAGTTGACAATTCCTTAAAACATTTCATGTTACAAAATAATAATAATAATAATAATAATAATAATAGTTATTAGCATGAATAAATAAATTTTATTTTTTGTAAAAACAAATGTATTATGATAAAATCACTGCTCGATATAAAAAGTAAACATACCAATTATAGGTTTATCATGATAAATAAGCACCGTAACAAACTTATTATCAGAAACAGTAAGGTAATTTTTGGCATAACTCTCATTGTAATTATCCGAAAAACAAATTTTAAAAGAGTTATTATCATAATCCTCTTTTTTTATTTTTGGAATCATATATTCAGGCTTCAATTGATTATTATTAATACACCAGCCAACTGCCGATACATCTTCGTCGCTCCAAGTCGCAATATATTCCATCTTGGGAGAACATACTACATTTGCAATTTTCTTTTTATTATGCGGAGTAAAATCATCCGTAATTTGCTCTTTATTGCGTGGTGTAGAATCATCCGTAATTCTGATCGAAATTTCTTGAGTATCCGACATTTTTTTTTTCATATACAATTAAAATTTCATAAACGAAAAAGGTGTCAATTTAAATTCTAATTTTAAAATTATTTCATAAGCCTTGCTTAGATGCAAGAATGTATAAATTATGTTTGTTGTTGTTTTTTTTTTCTTTTATTTTGCTTTTTAAAAGCCATTAAGGTCATAGACAAATATCTGTAAACACTCATTACAAGTATTTTTATTACATCGAAAAAAAGAAATATTTTTCGAATTTATCATTTCAGTCAACGAATTTTTATTTCACAATTATTATTAACCGGATAAGAGAT